CAATAATATCCTTCAAGGCTCAAATGTTTATGTGTTGTCTCAATAGATATGTGTGGCCACCTAATGATGCAAAGATCCTGCCACTTATTATGATCCATGTTCATGTGATTAAGTCACGTTCTTCTGAATTATTTGAGCATACACACTTGAGATATCTATCAAATACACAGTGGAAAATATATGTTGTTTGTGTGATACCACATTCTTTAGCCTATGTCAGAATTTCATCAGTTATTCGTCCACCACTTGTTAGAAATTATTTAAACTGGATCAAGACAGATATTGATCTATCAGTTATGATGCAATGGATCAACTTCAATAGCTCGTGAACTGTTTGCTGAATCACCAGAAAAATTGTGGTCTTACCCTAGACAACAACAACATTGCATTGCAGAATCATGAACTAATTAATGAAGTGGGTCTTAAAATAATGTAAAAACAAAATATTCTCACTAAGAAACTCACTAGAATTTCGCGAGGTGTGTCTACATTGTCCACAAGTAAGAACATTATTTCAGTCAATTAATTCTGTGGGTCTGACTAATTCTGTGAGTCTACATCAGAGACCAAATGCATCACATGACTGACGTAAACAATAATTTCCCACCAAAATAATGATCATATGATTACACTGGTCTTTTGGATTTAGCTAATCAGAGAGAGACCCTAATCCCTTTATCAGTCAATATATTCTTATCCAAATTTCTATAGCGATAGCCAATGATTGTGTGTACCGAATCAGATAAGTTTTCTATGATCTACGTTCTTCGGGACAGTATTTCTATAATGACTTCCTTCACTTCAGGCATATGTGCCCTTTAAAAATTCATGGCATTTGGATTGGTTATTAGAAATAAAATGGTACCTTTATGATCAGGTTGGATAAAAAGAATCTTTAAGCTGACATTAAAGTTGGTTTGTGCTTCTCCAAAGTAAGACACCTTCTCATTGGACTCAATGCCTTTCAACATCCTTAACAGCCACAGAAAATTAAACTAATAAAAAATTAAAGAGCCTTTCACTATTCCGAAGTAGATGCAAAGTTGTATGTGACACTCAGTTTCTGCTTTCAATGAGCATGAATTATACAATTAAGAACTGCCATTAACATACTTTCTCATACTATTTTTAACACTTTTTATCATCTGTTTTAAACTAATGAAAGTTTATAAGTTAACTGTGTCAGTCACAGTATTTCTTGCTGCATATTCTTAAAAAATTCTAAGTACTTAATTAAGTAATCGCTCTAAATGTTTAGACTGCATATCAAAGTTACATTTTGGCACAATCATATCATTGGGACTTGTCCACTTATTTAGGGCAGGGTGATTTAAAATGGCAAGTTTTTGAGTTGGTGAGATATCATAGCAAAGACTTGACCCTACGTTGTAGGCCTCATCTTTGGACATCTTAAAGTTTTAGCTACAGTTTTCTCCTTCTCCACACCATAAAGAGAATGGCCCCAGTTGCAATCATTTTGTCCCATAATAAAATAATGTCTTCACTTCCTACAGGATGAAATTTGTCTAAGATGAATGAATTAAGTTTTTGAACAGTACTCTACTCATGTACCTAATAATTTCTAAGCTAATAACCCCAAACTGCCACTAGATCTTCCTCTATTCAAAATTCTAAAGTCCAACTATTGTTTTTAACTTTTGTTCGTTTATAATTAAAGTGATATATATGGATCACCAAGAAGTCTTTTTCTAATTAGTTTTAGATTTACTTGGAAACTGTTACGTGGCTTAATATGTATATCTAGAAATCAGTGTTAAATAAGCACACTATTTATTGGGTAATTAAGGCAAATAATTAATCACAATATGATATATTATTGTTTTTTTGTGTTGTCATTATTTTTATTGGGTAATTGAGACAAATAATTACAATACACTAGTACAAAAATTCTTTATAACCTCAAATATTTTGGGGGCGAATTCGCGAAGACATTATATGAGGAGACGTTAAATTTAAGTTGAATTAAAAAATTCGACGTTAAACTTAACGTCAAATTTTGTCATTATTTGACATTAAACTTAACGTTAGAATTTTGTCAATATTCGACGTTAATCAATTTTTTTTTTGTTTTCTTTTAATTAATTGTGATCATTTCTTACAACTCTACGAGACCTAAAAAGTAAAAGAACAACAAATTTTAGTTTTTTGTATTTTATAAAGCATGAACTATGAATTAGTAGTAGTAGTATAGTATCAACAACAAACAATAATAACCAACAACAAACAAGTTCGATCAAACAACAACAAACAAATTCAACAAATAAGTTCTTCAAAACGAAAACGAAAACGAAAACGAATCTTCAAAGTGTGGGTTCATCGGAATAAAGTTTCGTCACAGTGAGAGAAATAGCAGAATGCGCCTCTGAAGGACAAGAGCACGAAAATAATCGGTTAAAACAAACAAAAATCATACATAAAGTAATTAATTAACATGCATTTGTATCAAATGAAAGAAAGATTACATGTGATGCTCGTCAAACTTCATCCGAGAAAAGTTTGAGAAGAGAAGAGGGTATCGTGCGCTAAGATAAAGTGAATGAATTTTCAATCTCCTGCTCAAATTTTTATTGAATTAACTAACCTTTTGAAGTCGAATTTAAAAGTCATTCGACGTTTAATAATTTCATTTATTTACAAAAATGTCACCGCTCATTTATTTTTAACATTGATTATCCAGTGGTTGGACGTTGAACGCGTGAAGTTATACACTCTTTTTGTAGTAGTGATATGATATATTATTATTATTTTTGTGTTGTCATCATTTTTATTGGGTAATTAAGGCAAATAATCACAATATGATATTATTGTTTTTTATTGTCATTAGTGATGATAGTAGATTAAGTCGGGTATGTCTATATGTAACTCGTTCTGTTTGAAAAAATTTATCCTTTAATTTATCTAGTTATTTGTTGGATATTCATGAAAAAATATTTGTGAATTCTTTTTTATATGTAGTACCCTAGATATTCGCAAGTATTTTTATATTTTATTTTTAAAATTTTAAATAAAATTATTTAAAAACAAATATTAGCTTTAGATAAAAAAAATAATTGTTTAGTAAAATTTAAATTAAATTATTCCATAAAATATTAATATAAATAAATTTGGTCTTTTTAAAAATCAAATTTAAATTATTAGATTCAAAATATACATTTTAAAAAGTTTAATCTTTTATAAAATAACTTCAGTATTATAGGTTTAAATAATATATATATATATATATATATATATATATATATATATATATATATATATGAAGTCAAATTTATAATCATTTTTATATTATTAATATTTTTTTCATTAATAATTTTATTTTAATTACTTGAATTTAGAAAAAAAATGCTAAAATAAAATTTATTAATAATTATTAGTGAATAACGAATATCTACTTGTTAATTATCAAACAAATAATTAAATACTATAATTAAATACTAGTATTTATTATCGGTAAATATTCATTAAAGATATTTATTTAATATTTATCATAATTTTACCCATAAATTACTAAAGGAGAAATCATTTTTAATGTTACTTAGACTGTTTTACTAAGATGTCGTTATATTAAATAATTAAAAAAAATTAAAAAATATTTCTAGTCAATTTGAAAGCGACGGGAATTCTAAGATATATAATAAGCGGTATTTCACACTTAAAAAGTTCATTTGGACGTTTTATGATTGTAGCGATTTTTATAGAGTTGATTTTCTTATTTTAGTAAGCCATGTTATCTTTTACTATAATAAAGTATTTCTCTTTTTTCTTTCGGAAGTCATTTCTCTCATGAAAACTGACATTAGTGTAGATAAAATATATTTTATCGATTATTTTCAAAATTATGTTTTAATTTTTTAATCAAAAATATATTCAAATAAGATAAAAAAGATATTCATATAAATAAATAATGTAACAATATCCTTCACGTGTTATTACGAGAAAGAAAAAAAAATAGAAAAGTGACAATAAAAATAACAACGTGATTTACAAGCTCACGAGAAAGAAAAAAAAATAGAAAAATGACAATAAAAGTAACAACGTGATTTACAAGCTCATTTAATATTATTAATTTAACTTCCAAGCTTGGAATTTATGTATATACCGATACAACGAATATACTAAGTAGCATGGTCTAACAAGACTCATTTAACATTATTAACTTAAAATAGTTAAATAATATTTTTAGAGATATTTATTAGTACAATTATCATATATTAATGGAATATATAATTAAATATAAGTAGTTTGATTATATTATAATATTCTTTAATTCATATATCAACAAATATATAGTTAATCAGGTAAAATATATATTTCATTATTGTTATTATTTTACTAATTTAACATACAAACAATAAAATTTTATATTTGTTGATATGATTTGATATTATCATGATATTATCAACATTTATACCAAACCTCATAGAGCTCATAAACTCTACAAATACAAATAATATTTATAAAAATAAACATACAATTCTATCATATTCTCTCTTTTATTTATAAAGATTTAAAATCTCAGAATATTTTTTGACCTTTTCTTACGAAGAATGAGAAATTTGATTTTAACCAGCAAAAATATTGAAATCATTACTAAAATCTTGACACATCCAAATTTCGAATTTTGTTATGAACTCTTACAACTCGAATTAACAACTTTGGAATCAATCGTAAAAAGGATTGCATATTAATGCATAAAGAAACTATAGGAGTGCCAACAGCAACTATCCCATTTTTATATCTTGTTGACGGGCCATTTGACCAGCCCAATATATAATCCGTTGGTCGACCCTTTATAACCTTTCTTCACAATTCAGAATAATCTATATATCAATTCAATTTAAAAGTGTCGTCTTACACCTCTTTTTATGATATGACGAAAATTGACCAAACATAAATTAATCAAACATCATTTTCATTCTACTATGCTTTTGATGCCGACACAAGTAGCATTCTCGACAAAAATAACACATAAAATTTTATCAATTGACAAGACTGGATAATGGAATATCATTTACAACTTCAAACTATAAGTTACTCAATTTGTTCATAAAGTTGTCTCAAATTTCAAATTTATATTTGAATTCCAACACAGAGAACAGAAAGTGAGGTTATGTAGGACCTCCATGATCAAGAATAACCTGCTAGAGCTACTGATCTAGATAAGAAAAAGCTTTCCGTTCCCTGCTCTACACATTTTTCACTCCACATTGCACTACATTTTTTCACCCACTACGCCATGTTTCCCCAGCCATGGTTCTTCTTAGCCACAATCATTGCAACTTCACTGCTCATGTCCTCACTGGTAAAGTCATTTCCAGAAGCTGATAAGGTGAAACACTTGCCTGAACAGTCACCTGTTTCCTTCCAACAATTTGCTGGCTATGTACCCGTTGATGACAATGATCAGAGAGCTCTTTTTTACTACTTTGTTGAAGCACAAAGGAACCCTTCTTCGAAGCCTCTAGTTCTCTGGCTCAATGGAGGTTAATCCACATTCAACTTCGTCTATCAAACACCTTTCTTTGTACTTGGGTTAAGCTAATGCACTCATTAGACTCTAAATGTGTTTCGTAGAGAAGGTTTCTTAGAATTTGACAGTTTGCAGAGTTTATGTTTCTTTTGTTTTGATCTTCGATTGCCATGTTGCCTTTGTAGGGCCTGGCTGCACATCTGTTGGAATTGGAGCCTTCACCGAACATGGTCCTTTTGTTACAAATCAAGGAAAGGCTATTCAAAAAAATCAGTATAGTTGGAACAAAGGTCCTGCAAATTTTTACAACCTTATCTCTCTTTTGCCTCAAACTTAACTAAGCTCATCTTTTCAGCTCCTTTGAGTCCTTTTTTTTTCAGAGGCAAACATTTTGTACCTGGACTCACCAGCAGGTGTTGGATTCTCTTACTCTCTCAATTTGTCATTTTATAAAGCTCTGAACGATGAAGTAACAGGTTGGTTCGCTCTCTTATCCCTATGCAAATGCAACAAACCTAATCGATTTCTTCTTTTCTTTATTCTGTTCACGAGTGTCTATCTCTCCTGTCAGAGTCGGTGCTCCCTCTATTTATGTTAGATTCCATTCACATGTTGAACATAAAGTTAACATTTTCTCTGCTAACATTATTTGTTTCTTTAGCCCGAGACAGTCTAGTTTTCCTGCAGCGCTGGTTTGCCAAGTTCCCAGAATACACAAACAGGGACTTTTATATAATGGGAGAGAGTTATGGAGGTAAGGACACACAAATAAAATAATACATGCATAGACTAAGTAATTAATATGATAAAAGAATTTGAACAGTTGAAGGAGAGGGAATCTTAATCCATGAGTAGCAAACACTGACAGTGTTGGTTTTGGTGGCAGGTCACTATGTACCTCAACTGGCTGAACTCATTATTAAGAGTAATTTAAATTTCAACCTAAAGGGCATAGCAGTGAGTAAAGGCTGACTGTTATTTTTGTCTCTTTATTTGTTACTTTCGTGGCTTGGCATTTTCTGAGTTATCTTTGCATTGCAGATAGGAAATCCCCTTCTGGATTTTGACACTGATATGAATGCAGTTGATGAATATTACTGGTCTCATGGAATCATAACTGATCATGCATACAAAATCAAGATCTCTCTGTGTAACTCATCCAGACTATTAAGAGAATACTTCAGTGGCCGTCAACTTTCCAACGATTGTCTTCTTGCAGCTCAAAAAGTCTCAGAAGAATATTCTTTTACATCCTTCATAGATCCATATTACGTCATCGGCGATAGATGTCTTTCTTACAATGTTTCTCAGGCAGCTTTTCTTAAGGAGATGCTAAGTTCAGGGTTGTTTCAGTTTAGGAACTCCCATGATGTGCTTCAAACCCAAAAACCAGACCAGGTGAGGTTTCTATTAAAATATTATATACTACTATTTTGATTCATTCTTTGTTTATATGTTTTCATTTAAAAGTACAGCATTTTTATTTTCATTATTCTAAATGGCTCTAAAAATATGAAAAAAGAATAAATATGGACAAACAAAAACACCTCAAACTTGGAATTTGTTAATTAGAATTTTGGTCCTTGAATTTGAATGGTGCAGCAAGTTGACGAGTGTAGTATGAAATATTCAGAGAAGTACTTGAACAGGAAAGATGTGCAGAAGGCTCTTCATGCCCGGGTGGTGGGAACTAGCAATTATCGTTTGTGCAGCAGGTAAAACTACTTCTAATTCTATTATGTTTCAAATAAAACCTCATTGTAATCGTTAAGGGTAATGTAGGAACGGTGTGTGGTTCTCCTGCTGACACCTTCTTCCAATGTCAGGATTGTACTCACAAATTATGACCCATCCAACAGAGAGATACCGACAATTAATGTTGTCGGCTTCCTTGTAAAATCAGGTCTTCGAGTCATCGTTTACAGGTTAATATATAAATAAGAACATTTGATTAAGCAAGTTTTGATCTCATTCGTTGTTAATCCATATTTAACGTATATGATAGTGGGGACCAAGACTCTGTGATTCCATTCATGGGCACCAGAAGATTAGTTGATAAACTTGCAAAGAAAGTTGGCCTTAAAACCACAGTGCCTTACAGTGCCTGGTTTGTGGACAAACAGGTATACTTAGCATTGTTTTGTTGGATTTGTTTGATATGGTGGTGATGATGATGAATCTTTTTGCTTACATTTTACATTGTTTTTAAGGTTGGAGGATGGGCACAAGTTTTTGGGAATCACCTCACCTATGCCATGGTGAGAGGAGCTTCACATGGCACTCCAACTACCCAGCCAAAGAGATCTTTTGCTTTGTTTGATGCTTTTCTCCATGGCAAACCGCTGCCTAAAGCATGAAAATTTCAATGCTTGCTCAATAAATGCCTTATGAGAAGAACTGTCGTATTCATCTATTATTCTAAGAAAAAGTATAAATACTTTTTTTATTTTCAATTTATAAAAACTATACTTTGTTGTTTCCTTGTAAGTTTTATTGGTTGGGAGTAATTATTATAGTAGTTGTTTGTTAGTTTCTTATATTCTATATATATTTATTTACTAGTTTTAAGTAAATCCGTCAAAATGACCATCCGTTGGATTCAATCTATTTGATCATGGATTGGTACTTAGTGAATCAACCTAACCCGACTCATTTATTAGTAAGTCAGAAAAATTCGAATCCTGTGAAATCCACCATGAGTTGATTCACTGACTCACTTAATTATAACTTTTCTAAATAAAAAAAATACAAACTTTCTATAATTCAAATTTAAACAAATTTTACTCCCAATGTGTTTAATTAATTTTGAAAATAAAAAACTTAAATAATTTTTTCAAACAAAAAAAATAATAATAAATATTTTTTTATAAAAGTAAAATTAAATTTTAATAAAATAAAATTAGGTAGGTAAGTCAATCCGGCCCACCACAGGTTCAACCGGCATGAGCTGAGTTTAAATGAGTTGGTTGAAATCTAACCCGTATAAAAAAATATATAATTTTTTCAAATCCAATTCGTCTCGAACCCGTGATGAGTCGGATTAACCCACGGATTGTGACCCATTTTGATAGCTCTAGTTTTAAGTAAAGGGTTGCAATTTTTTAGTAATAATATTATTTTAGTTATAATTACATTTATAGTTATAAATAGGAAGTTTTATTTGGAAAAAAAAAATATGTAAGAAATTGTTTTAATTTATTTTATACTTTTAGTTCATATTTGATAATATGTTATTGGTATAAACAGTTGTTCGTTTTTTTTTAATTCAAATTTTTGTTGTTACTGTAATTTTAATTTCAATTTTCTTGCATTTTATCATTATTTCATCTAAACTTTTGTATTCATTTCTCATTAAGATTCTATATTATATTATTGTTTTATAATAGCTAATATTATTATTATTATTATTATTATTATTATTTATCATTCTTAGAATAAAATAATTACCGAATATGATGATATATGATTTTCGTGAGAGTATATATGATTAAGCTTATAGTTTTGGATACCATTTCTAAGGAACTTCTAAAAATATTTTTTTTCCTAGAAGTGAAAAATAATATAAAAAATAAAAAGTGGAGAAAGTAACAAACAAAATGAAAAAGTGAAAATATAGATTATTAAGGAAAAAAAGTTGTTCTCCTTGATAATAATGGGAATGGTGATATAGAATTATTAAGAAATAAGATATCACCGTATGATCTTCTTCCAATTACCAAAATATTTATATTTTAATATTAGTATGTAAATTGCTTTAGGTAATATGTGTTTTACTTCTGAGATTATTATATTCTAATATTGTTATAAATAATATTTATTTATATTTTGTTTATATTATTTTATATAGAAACTGATAACAATTAAAATATATTAGTTTATAGTGCAACAAAACATAAAGTTCTCGTTATTAATCACTTATTCCACCTTCTTTGATAACACAAGAAGTCATTGTTACTATTATATATGATATTCAAAATATAATTGAAAATTTTGGAAAAGCTAATTTGTTGTGGCACGAGAAAGATATTAGAAATACATTATATTCTCTCAAATGTCATAAACGTATTATAGTCGTATAAATGAATATCATTATGTGATAATTTTGTATCATGAGATTTGACCAACAATGAATATCATGATGCAGCATTGATTGACATTAAACCAACATATTATACTACTATAAAAATTATTTTAAACAACAATGAATTTGATCATAAGTACTATTAGAAAAAACAAGTTTATACACAGTTTAAAAGGCTTATAAAGATAAATAATGATGTATTAATAAAGATTTTTTTATAATATTTTAACATAATATCCATATTATATTATTATTTTTATTAAATACGTTAGCACAATAATATATAAATAATAAATTAGAAAAATTAATCAAAATATTGTCAATTTCAAAATATTTTTTTATCACGTTCACACGTTTATATTTGTTTCCACGTCAGCGTTTTCTAAATTTTTTAAAACTTTTGATCAGTGGTGGGTCATGGCTGATGGAGAAGTGAGGGTAAATTTGTAAAATTGGTAGCGTTTTGAAATTTAGGATTTATTTGTAGAAAGTTCATCCGTTGATAGCTTTGAGTTTCTTTTTCGGGACTATCGCGCTCTGGACGGCTCTGTTGCTGGCGCTCGTGCTCCCATCTTGATACTGTGGTCATTGTGTGCTGACTGCGTTTTATTTAGTGGCTATTGAAGATTTGGATTAGGATTTCATTTCTTCCGGTTGGCTAGCCTCTTCATTGGTAATCTCTTCATGTATGATTTTCCCTCCGTTGTCGTAAGTGTATTGTGTAGGTTGGTTTTGTGTGTTTATATTAATGTTAATTTAGTTGAATTTGGGTATTTTTGCTTGAATGTGTTTGGTGCGTTGAAATTTCTGTTTGGGGGTATGGTTTTTGGTGAAAATTGTGTTAAATAGGTTGGATTTTGGTATTTTTGCTGCGAATGTGTTTCGTGTGGTGAAGTTTGTAGCGTTTTTGGGTGTTTTGTTATCCTTCCGGTTGCGGTGTCCACAAAATTTGGAAGGTAGGTTCTCTTTTCCATCCAATTCTCCACCTTCCTGGCCGTGCGAGAGTTGAGTTTCTCAGCTTCAGTTTTGTCTTCTCTGAAACAATTGCTTTGTTTCTGCTCCCTCATGGTTTCTCTGTAAAAGGTGAGTTGCTTCTCTTCCATTTCCTCCGTTCGTCGATTGAACGGAAACGTCAAGTAGAGTGGAAGAGAAAGAAGGGTATTTTGTTGAGTATCAATTACTTGCGCTTTGTTGTCTGCTTGAAATAGTGACACTGTGAAAAGCTCTAGTTGAGAGAAATTATGAGGAGAAAGAAATGATTGTCAGAAAGGACAAGGCCATGGCCGTATTTCCAAAAAAAAATAAAAATGAGCGTGAGAGTGGTGTGTTTGCAAATCACTGTGGGAGGACATTAGAGGAAGAAAGAAATGAGACATGAGCATTGATGAGTGCTTGATGGTTTAGAGAGAGACACTAATGAAAGTTAAATTCCAAGCCTCAGAGGAGAAGAAGGAACAAAGGATGTTTGAGAGAGAGAGTGGGTGTGTTTTGGAGAATGGTTTCTTTTGGATGCTCTTATAAGGGTTGGGGAAGGAGTACAGCTGGCCAGGCTGTCAATAATGATGTGGAATTTCACTGATTTTAAATCTAATGTTTGTATTATTCAATTCACCTCTTAGTTTTCATTTTTCCCTTCATCCCATGAATTGACATTAGATACTTACTTTTTCTTATATAACAAAAGAAAGAAAATGTGTAGTTTTGTAGGACCATGCAAAGCATATATTGATTCAGCATAGAATATTCCACTCTTGCTTCAGAAATTGATCAGTATCTGTCTTAGTTTTGATGTGGATATGCAGTTTTTCCTTTCTATGTACAAACAAATGTGATTTTGTGGAGGATAACTTGGTGTAAAATGTTGATTAGTATTACCTTCTTTAATTGGTGGCTTTTATGATTAAAAGGGTGGTGTTTTTGTGTTGATTAGAAGAGGGAATGAGAAGTATGAACATGTGTGGAGCACTTCCAACATAAGGTATTATACTGTATTATGAGGCATTACCATTATACTCCTGTTTGCACAGTCAACTAATGCGGCTACTGAACTGGACTTTGGGCTTTAAGTGTTCATTTATTTTTGTAGATTCTATTATTGCCCTTGACTTCTTCAAATTAAAGCTGTTCTCCTTTTGCCTATTTTAATGAACTGCATTGTAGTCTAGGTTTAGCTTTGGAAAGAACATCTTGAGGATTTTGCTGCTGTGAAGTACATAGTTTTAACCCTCTAGTTTTCTGATAGAGGTTGAACGGAAGGAAGGAAAATTGAGGACTTTCTTTGATGAGTAAAAGGAGTACAGATACGTAACATGTAGTGGACCTACTTTTGGGTTGTTGCTGTTGTTATTTAGAGTGTGGAAAAGGAGTTTAGAGTGATATTGAATTAATAGTTGCAAATTGTTTTGCCTTGTGTTGTTATTGTCATCAGAGAAGCGTGGCTTTACAGAAGTCCTTATAAGTGGAAGATCCCTCTAAGCCATGACTAATTGTTCTCTGGTTGCAAGGAGGACCTATAGGTGTTACTGAATTGGGTTGTGTGACATGAGCAAAAACATGAATAACCCATGATTTGAGCAAATACAAACTTCACAGCTCATTATGTTGGTGGCTCTGTCTTCAATTTGTGATGATTGAAAACAGTTTTTACTTGTTACTTGGATTAAGAGTGAATTTCTCTTTTGTTAGTTAGGAAATGAATCAAATGATGAATCGTTTATAAATAATTTTAGAACAGAAGAAGTACAAGAAATTCATGATTTAGAGTAACTATTTTCCTTTTGTTTGGGCATGGCATTAGGAGACAGTTGGATTTCTCCTTGAAGATTTTGTGGTAATCAGAATGAATAGAATTTATATGTCCACCAGTTTTTGTTAGTTTTGAATTCAATATTGCAATTGCAGTTCTCATGGGGTCCTCTCCTTAAAGACCTATCACAAGTTGACGATAGTGGCCTGCAAAAATCAAACAGGTAAAATCTGTTTTCCATCTTCTCAATTAGAAACAAATATACATTACACAGTTAAGAAAAAATATGAAAACTAGAGTAACATTCTATGGAATGGTAATTTTCTGTGTTATCTAACAAACTCATTTTAGAGAACAGTATTGCTGAGAGGATCAAGTATAGAGCATATTATGAACTACTATAATGTACGTGACTAAATCTAGATATTAGCAGATTGGTGACAAATCAATGATAATGAAAATCACTAGGGATGGTTCAAAACCTTGACGTCTCGGTGGCATATTAGACAATGCAACAGATTAGATATAAAGGTACAAGATTTATCAGAAAGATGATCCTTTTAGTATTCCATTTGGCATGTATTCATAAACCAAAATCTACGAGTCCAAAGTCATAAATCAGATGGAGAAAATAAACCAGTCCCAAAATGGACTAACATTTAAGGGATAGTTATTTTATTATGCATTTACAGTCTTTTTATAATGCAATATTTTGAGAAAGTAGTAATTCATATCTTTTTTTTTTTGTACAATCAATCCTTTAAAAAATAAATCAAGAATAAAATATTACTAAAACTTTTATTATCTTAATGATTTTATTTAATGGCATAAAATTCATTAAAATATATCTAAGTGCGTGATTGAAATCTATTATCCAATAAAATCTCATAAAATTTATTTAACATTATGTCTATCTCGAAGATCATTATTAATATTATTTCTTGGCTTCTACTAATACTTCTCCGTGCATTTCATAGGATTTTAGTAAGTATGTGTGTTCGCGTGCACACGTATTTGCATTGTTGAAGTTCAAATCAGTTGAGCTCTAATTTCTCTCCTTATTCTCATACTAGAAATTTGTAAAATGAAGAACCTTGTTTTTTTCTAATCACAACTTTTTCAAATGCTTGATCCTAACAATCTATTGACTTTTGTTATATCTAGATCTGCGACCTAAGTTCAGGTGATTTAATTTTTGTGATACTAATGAATTGGACATACTCTGCCCATTTCTCAGCTTAAAAGTATGGATCCGGAGGCTGCTCGAGCTGCACGAGAATCTCTAGACCTGGCGTTCCATATGTCCAATATACTTGACACAGGTCTAGACCGACACACACTTTCGGTTCTAATTGCACTTTGTGATCTTGGAGTCAATCCTGAAGCACTTGCTGCTGTTGTCAAGGAACTAAGAAAAGAGAAGCCCTCGTTATCATCATCACTTCCCGAGGCTCCTTCTTCTTTTCCATAAATAAATGGATATTTTTCTTATATGTGTGCTTAAGTTCTTTGATCCATCCATTTTTGTGTGTTCCTCATCCGTTCCTTGAATTTCTTGTTCATCGAATTGGGGTAGTGTCATTGTTTTAGTACAAGGGTGATGCGTTGCAAATAGAACGTCATTTGAAGGTTTATCTTTGAGATTAAATTTTCACTTGGCTAAAAGAGTGACCACCATTCATGCACAGATCTTGACATTCCATTTTCTGGAGCAACCTTGAACGATTCACAAAAAAAACAAGCATAACGTGGTAAGTCAGCTCCTTTTTTCTTTTTCTTTTTTACATCGGGGCACTTTTCTGTATCACTGAATTAGATTATATCATTCTAGTTGACTGTCTCATGTATGAATTAATGTCTTAAAAGTTTGGCCATTTTTTACAAATAAATTAACGTTCGAAAGCCATAGGAAAACTACGTTCCATTTTACTTAACTGAGACATTAATTAGGTCAATTGCATGACTAGTGAAAGGAAATGTTCAAACTTGAAGATGAAATTAGAATTCTATATATTCATTTTTACTAATATTAATTTATATATTATCAAATATTTAGAGGTATTTAATAATATGTGACCATTTTGTCACTTTATATTTATTGATATGATGAGATGATAAAACAATTTTCCATTTGTTTTTGTTCAGCATTTTCTGTTTTAAATATCTTCATTAATAGTACATGTAAATTAAACTTGGTAATCTATAAATGTAGAATATTGTAAAGAAAACTGGTGATATATTAAACAGACAGGTGGACTACAACAGCAAAATCACTTGGTGAGTAGAATGAGTATTAAGTATTAAGTTTTTGTACTGATTTAATGCACTTATCAAAGTGGTAACTAGCCTTTGTCTCCATTATTTTAGTTGGATAATCATAATTAGTGGTTCTCCACATGCCGGCTTTGAAATAGACCACTTCATAATTAATTTGCTTTGATTGGGCCATCTTTATCATGTTACACTCGCCATTCATGGCTCATTCAAAACCTAATTTTAAGCAATCCCTATATTTGAAATTTTCGTGTTTAATAGTTTTAGATTTTGAATGTTATTTATTTATTTATTTTATTAATAATTCATTTTAAGAAATTGATTAACTATTTTTAGATCTACTTAATTAATTATATTTTTCAACTTAATAACATTAAAAAACTAAATTCAGCTTCATTTAGACTAATAATGTGTTGATAAATACTTTATCTATTTAGTTAAAACTATACTTTTTACAAATTATAGAATTATATCTTAATTATTCAATTAAAAAATATAAAACTATATTTTATTAATATGTTTCTTCTACGCATTTACAAATCTACCAGCAAAACTCTTCTTTGTAAATTCTTATAATAAATCACATTTAAATTCTTCTAATAATATTATTAAGGTTTTATTAAAATTCGAAACTCCAGCATAATTTTCTTAAAGAATCAATGAAAAAAAAAATCTATTTAAATTCTTATTAACTTCATCACTTAAATATGTAAAATTATTGGACCTAGTATACATAATTTAATTAGTTAAGAAAATAATTATATTAACCCAATGTCTAATATTAAACGACTTAATTAATCATTAATTTTGGATGCAACGTCTCGATGACGTTATTCTGAAGTCAAGTCAGACAACTCTATTTTGAATTTGTGGTTTCCTTTTTGTGGAATTTTTTTACATCATTTTCAACTTCGAATCACATCGTGATCATCCATTCCCACAAGCTGACACAAACACTAATTCACTTCAAAACAAAAATCGGATCGGAACCTTATCACAACCGAATATTCAGTCAACCAACGTCGCATTTTCTTAAGTCTCATTTTAGTTCTTAACTGTAAATGGATGAATTTCAATTTTATCTTTCAAAATATAAAACATTTTCTATAATTACATTTTTCTTGTGTAATTTGATGACAGGTTAATTCCTAAATTTTGCATTTTAATTTGAAATTTTTTCTCGAAAAATATAATTCAGTGTTAGATTAGTTTTCAAATACTAATTTAATAATAAAATAATTTTATGAAACTTAATACCAAGGCATTCCTTTATCCATTTATGAATTAAATCCGAGTTTTATTGTTTAATAAACTAAATTAACTAAAAAAGATGCAATATTCTTTTGAGAATGGACAAATTTTTTAGTTACCAGATTTATATAAGAAGTCAATGTTGTTAATAAGTACTTTTAATACACTGATTTGATTTGAGATAATTATTTCTGTATGATTCTCTCTCTAGATGAAATGAATATTCTAAGGTTGATTTTGTCCCCTGCTTTTATTTAAACATTCCAATTCAACACCGTGAAATGGGGTCTAAGATCACTATTATTCTGCAGAATTTATTTTAATATTTTTTTTTTATGTTCATTGAATTTATCAACTAAAAGTTTGATGACTAAATGTATCATAGTAAGACATATTGAAGGACCACCTCAATTTAAAACGATTAAGAACAAAGAAAACACCAAAATCCAGCACGATTTGAAAACAGAAATCCTCAAAATTCAAAAAGAGGTGTGAAAAGCTACATTAGTTTCCACACACATCAACACCAAATTTCCACTTTCACATACACACATTATAATTATACAAATAATGATTAAACTCGTGCATTATATGGTACCATAAATATAAAAGAAAAAATCAATTATTAATGAGTCTTTTTAAAACAAAGTAGCAATTGAATGAAGTGTAAATATAACATCATAACTGGGATTGCTATTGTATTATTATCACATTCACACATAATAACGTCATTGTTTTACTTAATCAAGAACTTTATTACTTTTTTGTTAATTAACTATAATACTAATGTAAGAAAATAACAAGATTTTCCAGTGGGGAAGTGGAAATTTTTTATTGTGATTGTTTTTAGCTTTCCTTGGATTGTTTAGTGCTATAAACGTCATAATCTTGTAGCAAACTATAAAAGTCACTGAGAAAAGTAAAAAGATGAAAGAAGCATTTGCAAGATGAAATTTACGAGTGTTAAAGTAACTGGTAAAAGGGATTAGAAAAGGAGACAAAAGAAGGAACTGAATGAAAATATTAGATTTTGTGGAAGTTGTTTAAATGTAAAAGCTGAGGTGACAGTGAGATAAGATCCACTATGCTACACGCACTAGTGAATTATGCTTATATCATAATCCTTGTCGCACAAACACCAGTGCAAAGGATTCAACATTCAAACTAAACCAGACTTTTCCCACACTTGACCATGCTACCTCAGTCATTTACTATGATTGCAACCATAGTTTTTGTTCTAATACAAACATTTGTGGGTGTGAGTTCATTTCCTGAATCTGATAAAATAAGCAATTTGCCGGGGCAACCTCAGGCCAATTTTCAGCAATTTTCTGGCCACATTACTGTGGATGATCAGCACCAGAGAGCTTTGTTTTACTACTTTGTTGAAGCAGAAGAAGACCCTGCTTCCAAGCCATTAGTCCTGTGGTTGAATGGAGGTACACATTGTTATGCCTAACAATCATGATTTTGTTTATTTTATTTGTTCAGAATCTGGCTTAAGCCTTTGAAACCGATCAACTGATCAATGTAATTAAGATGTTTTCTTGGTTTTTATTCTTGAAGGGCCTGGTTGTTCATCGATTGGAGTTGGAGCTTTTGCTGAGCATGGCCCTTTCAGACCGAGTGAAAACAATGTTCTTGAGAAAAATTATTATAGTTGGAACAAAGGTGAACCTTCAACCCAACATCGTTGAACCAAATATCAATACGCTCTTAATGAAGAAACCAAAATTGATTACTTATTTCATCCTTATCACAGTGGCAAATGTGCTATACTTGGAGTCGCCAGCTGGTGTTGGATTCTCTTACTCTAGCAATAAATCGTTCTATGTTTTAGTGACAGATGAAATTACAGGTTTTTTTTCACTTCATTTCGTGCACAATAAGAACAATAGTTTGATTAAGGCTTCTAGTCTTTTTCACTTCTTACCTTCATGATATTTCTCAGGAAGGTGTGACAGTATTAGTCTTGTTGTTGTGCAGCTAGGGATAATCTTGTGTTCCTACAGCGTTGGTTCACTAAATTTCCTGAGTACTCAAATAACGACTTCTTCATTACTGGGGAGAGCTATGGAGGTTAGAAACAGATATAAATGAATAACACATCCACTTTGAAAACTGTACTGAAATCATGCACCCTTCACAGTTCACACTTGTTTTCAGGTCACTATGTACCACAACTTGCACAGCTTATTGTTCAAACCAAGACCAACTTCAATCTCAAGGGGATAGCAGTGAGTACAGAAGGGAACATTTGAATAATTTTATAATAAAAAATCATTTGGTTTATTTGAAAGATACATGTAGTTCATATATATGTTGATATTTGCAGATAGGGAATCCTCTTCTGGAGTTCAATACTGATTTCAACGCCAGATCTGAGTATTTTTGGTCTCACGGGCTGATATCAGATTCAACATTGGAAATCCTAACCAAAGTCTGCAACTATTCCTCAATTAGGAGACAGCGTCAAAATGGGAATCTTGAAGAGGTTTGTGCAAAAGCAAGCAAGCAATTGTATGATGAGGTTAGCGACTATGTAGATGAGTATGATGTCACTCTTGATGTTTGTTTGTCATCAGTAAATCAACAGGCTTATGTGCTGAATCAACTGGTGAGCTTCTTCTACTTTCTGCATACCCACATCTTATTAATCCTTTTGATTTTTCCCCCCCAGAGTTGTTATTCTCCTGATTTGTTTGCTTGATTCAATTACTTTCGTTTTTGGTTCAGCAAGAGACACAAAAGATAGATGTTTGTGTCGGTGATAAAACGACCACGTACTTGAACAGGAAAGAAGTCCAAGAAGCTCTACATGCTAAACTTGTAGGAGTCACCAAATGGTCAACTTGCAGTTCGTAAGTTCTGTTGATTCAAAGATGACAGATCCCATTAGTGCTTTAGAGATGCAAATATTTATGATCAGAAAAAATGGAAAAGTGATAGACCACAAAAAATTTCCATCTGATTTTAGTAGGGTCCTCTGGCCACCAATTCTCATCGAATTTCCTTGTTCTTCATTCTCAAGCACAATTAGTCACCCTTTTTTCTCTCTGCTAACAATATCTTCCTTGTGTCACAGAGTTCTGCATTATGACTACAGGAATCTAGAAATACCAACAATTCCTATCCTAGGGTCACTTGTTAAGTCTGGCATCAGGGTTCTGGTATACAGGTAATTGAATTTGTTTAATCCCTGACATTTAGCTAACTCCACATAGCATTTATGAAGCAATCAAAGTCATTTCTGTCTGCAGTGGTGATCAAGACTCAGTGATTCCATTAACAAGTTCGAGATATCTAGTGAATGGATTAGCCAAGGAAATTGGACTTGAGACCACAGTGGCCTATAGAGCCTGGTTTGAGGAAGAACAGGTTAATAAAAACAAATACTTGGAAGGCAATATTTACAAAATTGAATTCCTGTATGGATTTGGCATTCACTTAACCTTGATTTGGAACACATATTTCAGGTAGCAGGATGGACACAAACATATGGGGACATCTTATCATATGCCACCATAAGAGGAGCATCTCATGAAGCTCCCTTTACTCAACCTCAAAGATCACTACTGCTACTCAAAACATTTCTAGAAGGAAAGCAACTGCCTAGTGTTAAATGAAATATGAACAACTTTAATTAACACTACCTTCTATTATTGCGAAATGTTCTACGGTAAACATAAAAAAGTTAGTAACAAAAGAATAACACGTAAGTTTATTATCTTATCATTTTAAGTTTAAGTTCATGTCAATGCTCATATCTTATTTGTGTGTTTCTCTTTCGTTCTCACTTGAAAGTCCCATTATCCAATCAGGATCTCATTATTGCTATTGCATTGTTCGGCAAAAACTTGGTGTCGATTATTTAATAAAATTCAAACAACAATTATTGGTTGCAAAATTGTAGGATCGTTTCTTTTATAATTATGTTTTTAGTGTTAAAAGAAAGTATAGAAGTGGTGAAATAGTACTAGAATGAGTTGTTTTAACTAAGTGGGTATTTGGGTTAGATTTATAGAACATACAAAATCTATATTCAACGAGTGTTTTACAATTTAATATACCCAATTTAATGATAATAATAAAATACCATAGTTAAGTAAATATATAATTTTAAAAAACATATTTGAAATTTTATACTCTTTTAAGGTTTAATGATTGCTAAATGGTGATATAATACTCTTACTTAATATGCAATTATGGATTAAGTAAACATGACCTAGACAATTACTTTTAAATAATTTAATATAATAAGTAAAGATAAATATAATTTTGCTGAATTAATTTAGTGAGGTTGAATTAGATATGAATTTTATTATATTAATATGATATAGAGTCATTAAGATCATATCAAATTTATGTCATCCATTACTTTTAAAGTAAGAGGATGCGTTGAAGACTAAAATTTATTAGAAATAAAATTAGTTATAAATGTAAGAACTCGTGACGGTTGATGTTAGCTTACTAAGTTGAGTTTGCTTACTTTGCAGACTTTGGAGGATGATTTTTACAAGCTTGCCGAAGGTGTAACACTCCATTAAAATACATAAATAAAAATATTAATAAATATTATGACATTATTATGAAAAGTTTTAATTAAATTTGTTTTTACTATATGCAATAGTCTAATATCCTTTAAGATCGAGATTTAATATAATTTAAATATTTTTTTCTATATTTTTAAAAAACAAAATTATGACAAATTTCATGCTTCAAATCTAATACCATCTTAGATATATGCAGTAATTTATTCTAACGGATTCGGAATCGAAATAAAATTATATAAATAATTAGATTTTAAGAAAAACTTAATTGTATATTATTTTATTTTTTAAGAATAATTAATATTTAGGTTCGTTTATATGTAACGAGAGTTTACAAAGTTTTAAGAAGGAAACTAACATAGAATTCTCGTGGTATACTGGTGTTTATTAGAAGTGACATCATCTACTTCGTTATAGAAAAAATTAAGATGAATTAGTATATAAATTAATTGTGTTTTTATGGCTACATAAAATGTTATTAAACGGTTTTATGTTGAAAAAAAGAGAGTATCCAAACGCATATATGAGATGCACCATTTTTTTAGGTATGCAGACAAAATTTCCTATTTCATTCACAATAATTAGATAGACTTGTGTGCTATAGGATTGTCATGAAATTATAAAAGAATAAAAAAAATGGCGTATATAGAATATCCTGATTTATTAATGTATAAAACATAAAGTAACAATAAATGCTACTAATGTATTTTTACCATGAATTATTTTTTATCAAAATAAAATTATGATTTGCTCTATGAATTCCTATGACATTCAGTGTTATTCTTGAGTATGTGACATTTATAATAATATAACAAAAAAAAATAGGCATTCCTTATTTTTAGATAAAATATTAACATATTTAATCAATACCGGGCCTTCTTTTTTACACAATAAGTGGAGGGTTATTTCTTTTATCACCTCCATATCTCCTTTCTACACCTCCATAAGTGATTATCGTAACTATCAATTATTAGTCACTATTTTTGTTACATTAGATATTCTATAAACTTTTGTTGACGAATTCAAAATGTATATTGTCTTAAATTAAAAAAATACAAAATACCATATAACTGTCTCTTTGGTGTCCTACTAAGAGGGTCCCTATCAAAGTTTCATAGCTAGCCGCTGTTTGTTATTTTGGAAACGTTGAATCACATATGAGAACCTATCAAATATTTATAAATTTAATAATATGCTTTGAAAATGACTTTACAAAATATGTTTGTGTTAGTTAGGTTTGTTGGGCTAAAAGAAAATTAATTAGCTCATTATCTGCATTAGTGACGGGTTTATGTTTTGGGTCATGGCACAAGGTTCTCTCCCCTTAGCCCTAAAATTTTTTTCAATACTTTTTAACTCAAGAAGAAAATAAATGAGACTTAAAAGCTTCTTGGAATTTTATTTCTGTTTTTTTAATTTCAGAAATTTGGCAATGTTTTATGATTTCCCAAATGACATTTTATCCTAAAATAAACAATTTGACAGTCAATTTGATAAAAAAAAACACTAAATATTTTTAAAATAATTACTACAAAAGTTAATTATGTATTCATATATACTATTATTGGCTGGCACTTATATTACTCCTTTGGTTGGTGTACTTAAATTATTGTTTTTTTGTAATTTAAATTGCAGTGATTTGCCTAACCCATATTTATTAATTTTTAAAGTCAAACATAGAGTGCATCCACACATGAAAAAACAACAAAAGGGAAGCAAAGCATACATATAACCCAAATCCTGAAGGCAGGCAGGTTAACAACTAATCGTACATTGGTGTAACCAACACCATTTGTTTCAGTCGTGGACTACAAACACAAACGTTATATTAATAGGACACTACCTAGTTCCTTGTTTCTCATAATCCTTAGCATTTCATCTTCATCCTCCAATTCAACACATCAATGTGACCATGTTATCTCATTCATTTACTATGATTGCAACAATAATCATTGTTCTTGCACAAACACTTGTGGGGGTGACTTCACTTCCTGCATCTGATAAAATTAGCAGTTTGCCAGGACAGCCACATGTTAAGTTTCAGCAATATTCTGGTTACATTACAGTGGATGACCAACATCAGAGAGCTTTGTTTTATTACTTTGTTGAAGCTCAAAAAGATCCTACTTCCAAACCATTAGTTCTCTGGTTGAATGGAGGTGTATATGTATATACATTTTTTGTGCCACATATATGATTTCGTTTGTTTATTTACTTAAACTAATGAAATCAACTAAGGTGTTTGCTTTTGATGTATGAAGGTCCTGGTTGTTCATCTGTTGGAGTTGGAGCTCTAATTGAGCATGGCCCTTTCAAACCGAGAGACAACAATGTTCTTGAAAAGAATCATTATAGTTGGAACAAAGGTGAACCAACAACTTTGTAAATTATATGCTTTGTTTTAAAGGGGTCATGATATCAAATATGTTTTTTATTCAGAATCAAAACTGCTGATTGATTTTTTGTTGTTTTCAGTGGCAAATGTGCTGTACTTGGAATCACCGGCTGGTGTTGGATTTTCCTACTCTAGCAATAAATCTTTCTATACCTTGGTGACAGATGAAATTACAGCTAGGGATAATCTTGTTTTCCTACAACGCTGGTTCATTGAATTCCCTGAGTACTCAAACAACAACTTTTTCATTACAGGGGAGAGCTATGCTGGTATAAAGAAATAATTAAAATTAATTAACAATGTATCACTTTTGAAACTGCAATATGGTAATACGAGCTTGTTTTGCAGGTCACTATGCTCCACAACTTGCCCAACTTATTGTTCAAACCAAGAGCAACATCAATCTCAAGGGAATAGCAGTGAGTGCAAAAGGGAAATTTTGGATAATTATAACATAATGAGTAATATGGTATATTTAGTAAGTATAATAATGAGATCAAAATATATATGTTAATATCTGCAGATTGGGAATCCTCTGATGGAATTTGACACTGATTTGAACTCCAAAGCAGAATTCTTTTGGTCCCACGGACTGATTTCAGATCCAACTTATGATCTCTTCACCAGAGTCTGCAACTATTCAACCATTAGGAGACAAATGATAAGTAGGAATCTTAGTGAAATTTGTGAAAACATAAATACATTGGTGTTCACTGAGGTTAGCAACTATATAGATCAATATGATGTCACTCTTGATGTGTGTTTGTCATCAGTAAATGAACAGGCCTATGTGCTGAATCAAATGGTAAGCTTCATTTGTTACATGAATAACCATCATAACTGTCTTTGTGGTTCTATTAATTTGATTTCCATGGCTTGGTAATGTAGCAAAAGATACAGAAGATAGATGTTTGTGTGGATGATAAAGCAGTCAACTACTTAAACAGGAAAGATGTGCAGGAGGCTCTCCATGCTAAGCTTGTTGGAGTATCCAAATGGTCAACTTGCAGCAAGTAAGGTTTACTTATTGCTCCAAAGATGAGACATTTATGAGTGCATTTAGACTTAAAGATGCAGACATGTTAAACTTGTAGATATGTATTCATAGTTTGACTGAGACTTTTAGACCAATCCCTGCTATTAACTAACCATCTACCTTTTGTTACAGGGTTCTCCACTATGACCGTACAAATCTAGAGATACCAACAATTTCTATTTTAGGATCATTAGTTAATTCCAAAATCAGAGTTCTGGTATATAGGTAAGCCAATTTATTGGATCGTCTGCATTTACTCACCTAACACCATACATTACCCACCTACCCACCCTCATTTTTTAAACAACCAAAATCATTAATCTCTGTGCAGTGGAGATCAAGACTCAGTTATTCCATTAATTGGATCTCGATCTTTGGTGAATGGATTGGCCAAGGAACTTGGACTCAATACAACAGTAGCGTACAGAGCCTGGTTTGAAGGAAGACAGGTTAGTACATACCATTCTACATATAATACATAACATTTTATCTCAACTGTTGAAAACTAATCAAATTTTTCTATAATTTAAGTTGAGATTTCATTACATTATAGTATAATATTTAAAATTTGATATATAGATGATTTAATGAATGGTAAACAAATATTAAAGGTGTTATTTTATCAAAGTTGAATACTGATGATTCGAAAGCAATACAATTTACTCAACTTTGATTTGCTTTGTAAATTTCAGGTAGGAGGATGGACACAAGTGTACGGAGACATCTTATCTTATGCCACCATAAGAGGAGCATCTCATGAAGCTCCCTTTTCTCAACCAAAAAGATCACTAAGGCTACTTAAAGCATTTCTCGAAGGAAAGCCACTTCCTGCTGTTAAATAAACTATGAACAGATTTAATTACAAAGGTGTTTCTAATTCCTTTTACCACGATAATAAAAGAAAAATGTCTTTTCAACAAATTTTTTTTGCAATTTTTTATAATTAACATAGCTTTTGATTGGTCGGACCAATAAAATAATACACTTAATTTATTTTTAAAAAATTATTAAAAAAATTGTTAAAATATCATGATCTACAATAAAATCCTCACGAAAACTTGGTATTTTTGTTGGATCACTTTTTCATTGCTATCTCAGTTTCTTCTATATTTTATTTTCATTCAACGAGTAAATGGATGCTGTTCTCATTTCTCGACGCCATCCAGCACAGAAATAACTTTCAGTTTACCATACAATGTTGTTTAAATTATTAACCTTGTCAAAAAATATAGTAGCTACTTTTTTCTCGATTTGTGCTAAACTTACATGATACGTCCCCAGAAACAAATGTGAAAGGAATTTTAAAAAAATTGTTACTTTCACAAAATACATGTTTCCCTCTTATACGAGTATGCAGCAGAAAACGTGACAACAATAAATTCTTTTAACCAAACCACAAAACAGAACATAGAAAAATGTAAGACAATACATTTTATGAGCAACAAAGTAATTTTCCTGTTATAGCAGAAAATAACGCTATTGATTCGATGTCGGTCAAGAAAATTAAATGTGCTTGGCTCCACAATTTCTAATAAAACTTAGACAGAAAGAAATTGTTTAATCCAAACGTAATAGAACACCAGGCATATAAATTTTACTACAGCAACATCTGCCAACAAGTTTAACATCAGTCTGCTAATGAGTTTAACATCAATCGTGCAGTGTCCCGAGAATATCGTCGTCTCTATAAAGATGATACCTACACAAAAAGCATCTAATTAGCTAAGACTTGAGAAATAGTTGGAACTTGGATAAACAAAAATATTCTTAATCCATCCCAAATAATTCATTCACATAGCCAGCCAATATAGTTCTTCGTGTGTATAGCATATACTATACTCTGGCAAAATAAGAGTTAGGACAAGAAAAGAGGAATTAATTGGTGGCAATGAGAAATATTCCAAGAACTAGCAAATTCCCCAAAACTTGATGTTTTGTTTGTTAACTAGTCACACTCAAATCCCACAGTTTTATTGTATGAGAATGACAAGTTAATAAATAAAAATCAAGACACGTATCATCTTCACGTACAGTTAAGTAAATAATAAGATGCACAAATAGAAAATCACTAACTCCCAACTAATATAACCTTCCTGCTTTTGTTTTTTTCTTTTTCATTTTAGGGGAGGAGGGTAACAGATACTATGTTATAAATCATGGCAATATCATTTGTAGATCATTTTACCATAACTTCGAGTAAAATATCTATTTTCAACATCTGCCTGGTTCAAATCATACATTTTCATTAACACACGGAGTTTCAAGTTATTTATACCATCGCAGGCAGTCCCCGATAGTATTTGGAACTGGAGGTATCGTATCTTTGCAATGAGAAAATAAGTCTTTGAGGTATTAGTACACAAAACTACCAAAGTTTATGTGTAACCATCAAAATAATCAGTTTCTTTACAAAAATAAAAGGATCTCAAGAATAATCCTAGTCCAAACATTTGTATCTACCATATTAAACTATAGGATCAAGTGAAAGAATTGTATGAGCCGTGAGCCTAGAAAATAATCTAATAAAACAGGTCATAAGAAAAATATACATACTCTTTGTTGTCAAGCTTCACCTCAGTTCCCCCATACTCAGGCAAAAGAACAGTGTCACCTTCATTTACAGCCACTGGAATTAGCTTCCCATCCTTACTATGAATGCCAGGGCCAACAGCAATAACTTTCCCGGAATTCAGCTAAAGCAAACATGTAGAAATACATCAACTTAACAAAATCAAGAATATAACAGAAAAGAGTGATTTTCAGAGATAAATGGACACTTATATCACTCTAGATAAGTTCAAACACTCGCTTGAAAAAAACACTGAATTTTAAAAAACCCCAAATCTTCAAATTTTAATTGGTTATTGGGAATACACTAAGGCACTATCTACAAAACAAACAAACATGAAAACAACCCAAGGACTAATCCCGGAAAAAAAATGTACAGCATGCATCAGCTTAATTAGTACCCATCAGGGTACAATATCATATCACAGTAGCAACTACAGAAAACTCTGACAACTTCGATACCTCTAAAGTATAAAAAAAAAGAGTTAAAATTGAATAAGTAAAATAGGAAAAACTCGAGGCAAGATGAAATTTTGACATGAAAAGCGAAGACCCAAAAAGAGAAATGGAAAAGGGTATGAATGAAGTAGATTGGCAAAGCTAACCTTGGAGGATTTCTCTGGTAACAAAATGCCAGCATTGGTCTTTGATGGAGGCACGATTTTCTCCACCAAAACACGATTGAACAGTGGAATCAAACGCTTTGCCATTTGGAATACACCACACGACACCAAAGAGAAGTGAAAGAACGGAACACGGAGAGTACCTTGAGGAAAACTTTGAGGTCACTTGTTAGGGTTTTACAAAGGGTTTAAATTCCTTTTTAAATTTTCATTTTACATTATTTTTTAATACAAGTGGTTCTAGAATCTTCTCTTACATTTATATTGTTTTCACTAAAGTTCATATTGTGCTGAATGAATTTTCAAAATAAACGGAAAATCAGAAAATTGATGGTTCTCTGATACACAAATCAAAAAGAACAATTTTTTCGACATTTTTTAAATTGGATTAGTTATTAAACCGGTTAAAATTATAGTTAAATAATTTATCTTCGACGAAACAGCTTTTAGTAAATAATATTATTAAATCAATATAACACCATAATTTTATATACTAAAAATATTCTTTTTGCATTTGATTTATAATATTCAAAATAAATACAAATATAAAATAAAATATATCAAAATAGTTATACTAACTAGTAAATTTCCGTAATATCCATAAATAATAGCATAGTTACAAAAAAATAGACAAATTAATATAATCAAATTATAAGAAAATAATATATATATATATATATATATATATATAATAATAATATATTATATTTATGAAAAAAATTTGATAAAATAGTTCGAATTAATTTGTAAATTTGCTGAATATATTTTTGATGTATGTTAAGTTTTTAAATTAAATGTTAAGATAAATTTTTTTTCTTTTAAATCATATGCCGAATGAATTGGTTTTCATAGACTAAATATTTTCAGTTTTGTATAATGACATGTGTATAGGTGATTTAATACACACGTCCTCAATTGATCTTTTAACGATTAGATCGTTCTCTTTGAATGACCATTTATTTGTGAATGATATGTATAACTCATCTGTAATTTGTTGTTCAGCTCACCTTGTAGAGACTTTCAAAATCTCGGTGTAAATCGTGGATCCCTATCTAACACTATGAGCGACGCTATCCCATACAGTCTCACTATCTCTCTAACATACAACTGAGCAAGCTTCACCATAGACATCTTCAGATTCATCGTCAAGAAATGAGCACTCTCGGTAATCGTTTTCGAGGTCTTCGTCGGTAGTTGTGGACATGTTCTCCTCCGGTGGTGCAAACTAGTTTTTTTCTCATGGTAGTTCCTGGTGGGTTTTCTCTCTCGGTGTTGTGCATGTTTTCTATGCGCATGGTTTTGAAGGTTTTCACTTATCCATGTCTCACTTTAGTGTAATTATGGACATGTTCTCATTTTTTTCTTCATCTTTATTTTACTTTAGTATGAAATCAAGTGAAGAAGTATTAAAGTGTTTTGATAACCATTATTATGTATGTTAACCGAAGTTAGGAATCTAATTACATTTTTCGTTTGCTGCTTGAAGAAATTGTGAGTTGTTGTTGTTGAACATTTTTCTCACTTAAGATGGACTAAATAAGAGCCACTAAAGCTGCTAAGGTTACATTTCAGGATTCATAATAGCTACTATAAATTTTTAGATGGCAAAAAACAATTATCTCTATTTTGTGAAACAAAACTAGTTTAACTACTAAGCTCTTGTAAAGTTGATGAGGTACTTTATACCCATAATTTCTCTTAAGGCTTAAAACTAGATGTTAAGCACTCTAGTTCTTTAGAAGAGTTAAAACATGATAAAGTTCAAGTTTCTTGAACTAAATCGTGAGTTAGAGAACATAAATGTCTCTAGGAGAAACTCAGTTTAGACTAGGTGTTGTCTAACATTTAAGTGTTGTAGTATTTTCATTTCTTGATGTTTTGGAGGCTGCAACATGACCTTTAGGTAGTCTTTGGAGCAAACAATTGAGTGTTTTCTTTGTTGGACCAGTTCTGAACGTGAAGAGGTAGCTACTTTAGAGTTTTAAGCAAGAGTTGGTGTGGTTGTTACATGTTTCATGTTGGTGTTGATTTGATTGTTGCAAATTTTGTTTGGTCTTTACATCTCTGATGTTTGTGGTACAACAATTGTTTTTTATTGTTTAAAACATGGTAAAGGAAATGATGTGTTTGTTAAGAGAAGAAGTTGAGTATGGGAATCACTGTACATCTCATGCAAAGTCATTTCACATTATTTGTAATGGGTGCAACATATTTTTTTTTGAAGTCTCGGTTGGTTGACACATATGCATTCATTTGACATTGTGCCACATCACCTTTCTAAAAAGTGGTAGGTCAGAGCTTAGGGTAAAATTGGAAAGTTGCATTTGGTTTCAAATGAAATTTGATTTGGGATATTTTGTCCTCGTTAATTTGGAGGGTCTAGGTAAAGTTGTTGTGCATGTTCTCTACCGGTGGTTCTCTAATCGTTTTAGAAGTCTAGTGACGTTGGGGCTTGTTTTCGTCCTCTCTCCCAGTGGTTCTTGTTTACATATTCTCCATAATCGTTTTCGAGGTCTTCGCCGGTGCTTGTGGACGTGTTCTTCCCCGGTGATGCCTTCTAGGTTTTCTCTCCCAGTGGGTTTTCTTTCTCGGTGTTGTGGAGGTTTTCTTTGTGCATGATATTGAATGTTTTCACTTATCTATGTCTAACCTTAGCGTAACCCCTTTTTAGTTTTAACATTGT